CATCATTGTGCCATGGAATTCATATTCTTAATAGCAAATAATCATGGGAAATATTAACAGTTGCTCGTAGCTTGACAATCACATCTCAGGGTGACACTGTAACAGTTCCTGTTTCTATTGCACTATTGTAATTTGAGTTCAGTGCTGACTGATTTAAATACATAAATAAATTTTGTTTGAGAATTTGCAGGCGTGGATTCATTAACATCTGGAGCAGAGACTCCCCCATGATGCATTGCTTCCCTGTTTTTCTGGTCCCAGAGTTCAGTGCAGTTCTTGCCTTGGAATCTCTGTTCTCCAGTCTGTATGCTAATGGATGTGCCGCCCTGTCCCATCTTCTATGTAAATGAGGCTAGGGGAGTTGCCTTAATCCTGTCACCCTTGTCTGGAGGGGTTAAGTGTGTCTCCCATGACCCTTTCATTGCTTTCTTATAAGTCTTTCTTCTGACTTGGTTCAAGCAGAGGCTGGAGTGGGGTGAGCAGACAACAAAATGTGAAAAATCGGGAGTGGGGGTAATAGGAGCCTATATAAGAAAAATACCCAAAAATCAGGACTGTCCCTATAAAACCGGGACATCTGGTCACCCTAGGCTGGAGGGGCGGGGTCCTTGATGGGTCAAACAGGCTGCATACTGTGCCCTGGTTAGCTAACACTGGCTGTCCCTGGGGGCTGGGTTTAGAGTCCAGGGCAGCCAGTTAATCGGGTGTTGCCACGAAAGGGCTCTGGTTATTGCTAAGGGAGAGGAGGAAGCGGGTGTGTCTCTCTCTCTTCTCAGGATATTAGAGCTCTAGAGTTGAGCTCCCTGAGTCCGAAGCTGCTGCCTCCTGTATTTTGATCTGGGAGCCCAAACCTACAAGCTGCTTCTTACCCAGCAGAGGAGAGACCTTTGTTAAATCCCCTCTGTGCCCAGCCCAGGTGGGGACTTGCTGTGGTGGCTGGAACCAGCCCCTGGTGCAGCCCTGGGTTCTGCACACAGCAGCCCCCGAGCCGCAGGCTGCAGGTGATGGAGAGACCTGGGGGTAAAGGGCTGGGACTGGGCAGGAAAGTGACTCAGCACAAAGGGCTCCTTTCAGGGACTGGATGGTGAGTTTGGCTCCCTATGTGTCTGCGAGTCCCAGAGCTCCTGCCCCCATGGACACAGCCAGGTTCAAACCCCTGTTAGCAGTGGCAGTGACTGAGCTGCCTAATCATAGAATCAAAGAATATGAGAGTTGGAAGCGATCTCAGGAGATCATCTAGTCCAACCCCCTGCTCAAAGCAGGACTAATTCCCAACTAAATCATCCCAGCCAGGGCTTTGTCAAGCCGGGCCTTAAAAACCTCCAAAGAAGGAGACTGCACCACCTCCCTAGGTAACGCATTCCAGTGTTTCACCACTCTCCTAGAGAAAGAGTTTTTCCTATTATCCAACCTAGACCTCCCCCACTGCAACTTGAGACTATTGCTCCTTGTTCTGTCATCTGCCACCACTGAGAACAGCCGAGCTCCATCCTCTTTGGAACCCCCCCTCAGGTAGTTGAAAGCAGCTATCAAATCCCCCCTCATTCTTCTCTTCTGGAGACTAAATAATCCCATTTCCCTCGGCCTCTCCTCATAAGTCAAGTGCTCCAGACCCGTAATCATTTTTGTTGCCCTTCGCTGGACTCTTTCCAATTTTTCCACATCCTTCTTGTAGTGTGGGACCAAAAACTGGACACAGTATTCCAGATGAGGCCTCACCAATGTCTCATAAAGGGGAACAATCACGTTCCTCGATCTGCTGGCATGAGAGCAAAGGCCCAGGACAATGGTGCAGTCGCCGGTTTTCCTAAGGGAAAAGGATAAAAAGGGAGAGAGGAGAGACTGGAAGGGGAAACCAGGAACAACAAAAGGGGGAGGGTGGTTCCCAGATCCCAGACCTGCCCAGATCCATTCCCTGCATCCCCCTGGGAACAAGGGGAGGAGCTGAGAGAGGAAAAGCCACTTCCTGACATGGCTGAACACCGCACTACTTGGGGGGGGAAGGGGAGAGTTAGAGGGGTGACACAACAATGTCAGGGGGAATCCCCCAAGGTGGCTCCTTTGGTTCTGCTCTTTTTCCAGCATTGGGTTCAGAGACTCTCTTATGGGGAGAGTTTAAAAGTGCCCCGTGGGGTTTAGTTACGCTGGGAGGGCCCTGGCCTGGGTGGTAATGAACTAACTGGGTTTCTTTCCAGCGTGGAAGAGTCCAGAACGTCTGTCTGCAGGGAGAGAGCCTGGGGGCAATCGGGCTGTGACATGCACTCAAGCCCCTTCTGAAACCTTCCCAATCGCCCCGACAAGCTGAGGAATCACATCCAGATTTCACTAAAGATCGTCCCTTCTTCCAGGTGACAGGGAAGAGAAATGGCTGTGATGGAGTCAACTCAGGTAGGGGATTTTCAGGGAGCTGCTGGACGGCGGGAGGGAGAGGCAGGGAGGAGACAGGGTGTGATAAACCTGCTGATTTTCTGAGTAGGAAGGGGCATACCACCATTTGTCAAAGAGGTCATAGCCCTCCTGGGCAGTGCTGGGAACATTTTCCATACTCCCAGTGCTGGAGCCTGAACCCAGTGGCCAGAGGCTGCTGTGAAATACGAAGGGAAGCTTTTGGGATTCCTGTCCCTGTCCCTGGCTCAGTGCTCTGCTTGCCATATCAGCCTGTGGCTGGCAAGTGTGTGGTAATTGCTAAATGAGAAGACCCTGCCCTACTCCATCTGCTCCGTGGGGGACAAGGAAGTCTCACCTCTCCTCCCCGCCTCATGAAGACTCCTGGCGCTCTGAGCAGGGTGGGTGTGGGATTCTGCTACTCTGGTCCTCCCAGAGCTTCCAAGAAGTTATTTTTCTTTCTTCCTCTCCTTTGCCTAGTGGGATTGTGACTGGGGCAGCAGGGGCTGAGTGGGGGTCTCTTGTTGTTTCAGTTGCCGGTGACCTTCGAGGAGGTGGCTGTGTATTTCACCCAGGGGCAGGGAGCTCTGCTGGACCCCAGTCAGAGAGCCCTCTACAGGGACGTCATGCAGGAGAACTATGAGATGGTGACCTCGCTGGGTAAGGGATTCCTGTCCCCTCGGTTATTAGAAGCCATGAGGTCTTCATTTCTGACTCTGGTCAGGTTCTTCCCTGGTCAGTTAGATTGGAGGGGAATGGGTTCCATAATACGCAGCTGCCACGTGAGAGGGACTTTCATTGGGAAACAGGTATCAAAACCTAATGGACATGCGAAACCAAGCCCACCACTCCAGCATTCGGGGGGCAGGGGGACTTAGAAGTCATTCATTGTCCTGTCTGTATTGTTTCTTACTGATGCACAAAATCCCTCTTCATTTCCCTTCTTGGGAATAGCTCCAGCCCTGGGGAAGACTGTGGGCTCTGCAGATTTAGAAATAGGAAATGGTCTAACTCCAGAGCTGTGTGCGCGTCAGCAAGGCCCAACAGCACATAGATCCTGGGAACTCCTTGTGAGGGCGTAAAAATTCCCCCCACCTCCCCAGACGTCTGCTTCTCCCAAGAGGCCTCAGTGATCATGTTCCCGTGCTGTTGGATTCCATGTTCCCCCAGCAGATCATGGTGAGAGGTACCACTCCAGAATGCCCTTTGTGACAGACAATCTTCCAATCCTCCATGTGCCCCGACCTTGTCTCTTTTCACTCCCTGTTCAGGATTTCCCATTCCCAAACCTGAACTGATCTCCCACCTGGAACGAGGGGAAGAACTGTGGGTCCCGGATCTCCAGGTCTGGGAGGAAAGAGAGATCCTGAGAGGCAATCGCACAGGTGAGGACTGAAACAGAAACCATCTGGTGAATGAAGGAAAAAGTTGAGAATCCCAAAAATATGCTCTGAGTAAGAGCACTTAGTTCTTCCTCACCTCAACCAGGGCTGTAGTCAACAGATACCATTCACGGCTTTCCACGTGTCCTGTTAGCTGCAGGAGTTTCCTTCCCAACTTTCCATCCCTGGGAGTGTTTGGGTGGGATCTGGAGGCAAAATCCAGTTGCTCAGTCTTCACTATGTTAGCATATTGGGTTTTCCCTTGGTGCTATTCCTCTTTCTCCCCAGCACAATGACTCCTGTCTGGATTGTCTGTTTCTCCCAGCAGGTGATGAGACAGTAGATGAGAAGAAGGAGGGGAATCATCATGAGGAAGTTCCTAGGGAAGTGGAACCACAGGGGACCTTTGTGGGAAGAGCTGATGGGAGTTTATCCCAGTGCTTGGAAGAGGGAGAAAACTGGGGAAATTGGCAGAAGTCAGAGAGGCGACTGAAAAACCACCGAAAGAAGAAAGTGGATGAATATTTTATAGACCAATCCTAAGGAAGAGAAACCCTATCAGTGCCTCGAATGTGGAAAAGGGTTCA